AGTTAGCTTTAGCAGTGCGGAGAGCCTCCGTGACACAGAGAAGAGCAGTCTCAGTTGAATGACCAGTCCTGAAACCTGACTGGTTTGGATCAAGAAGGTCATTCTGAGAGAGATAGCAAGAGAGTTGGCTAAAGACGGCACGCTCAATAGTTTTGGAAAGAAAAGAAAGAAGGGATACTGGTCTGTAGTTGTTGACATCAGTGGGATCGAGTGTTGGTTTTTTGAGAAGGGGTGCAACTCTCGCTCTCTTGAAGACGGAAGGGACATGGCCAGCGGTCAACGATGAGTTGATCAGCGAGGTGAGGTAGGGGAGAAGGTCACCGGAGATGGTCTGGAGAAGAGAGGAGGGGATGGGGTCAAGCGGGCAGGTTGTTGGGCGGCCTGCAGTCACTAGTCGCAAGATTTTATCTGGAGAGAGAGGGGAGAAAGAAGTCAAAGCATAGGGTAGGGCAGTGTGAGCAGGACCAGCAGTGTCATTAGACTTAACAAACGAGGATCGGATGTCGTCATCCTTCTTTTCAAAGTGGTTGACAAAGTCATCCACAGAGAGGGAGGAGGGGGGGGGAGGATTCAGCAGTGAGGAGAATGTGGCAAAGAGCTTCCTAGGGTTAGAGGCAGATGCTTGGAATTTAGAGTGGTAGAAAGTGGCCTTAGCAGCAGAAACAGATGAAGAAAATGTAGAGAGGAGGGAGTGAAAAGATGCCAGGTCGGCAGGGAGTTTAGTTTTCTTCCATTTCCGCTCAGCTGCCCGGAGCTCTGTTCTGTGAGCTCGCAATGAGTCATCAAGCCACAGAGCTGGAGGGGAGGACCGAGCCGGCCGGGAGGATAGGGGACACAGGGAGTCAAAGGATGCAGAAAGGGAGGAGAGGAGGGTTGAGGAGGCAGAATCAGGAGATTGGAGGGAGAAGGATTGAGCAGAGGGAAGAGATGATAGGATGGAAGAGGAGAGAGTAGTGGGAGAGAGAGAGCGAAGGTTGCGGCGGCGCGTTACCATCTGTGTAGGGGCAGAGTGAGTAGTGTTGGAGGAGAGCGAGAGAGAAAAGGATACAAAGTAGTGGTCGGAGACATGGAGGGGAGTTGCAGTGAGATTAGTAGAAGAGCAACATCTAGTAAAGATGAAGTCAAGCGTATTGCCTGCCTTGTGAGTGGGGGGGGATGGTGAGAGGGTGAGGTCAAAAGAGGAGAGGAGTGGAAAGAAGGAGGCAGAGAGAAATGAGTCAAATGTAGACGTGGGGAGGTTGAAATCCCCCAAGACTGTGAAGGGTGAGCCATCCTCAGGAAAGGAACTTATCAAGGCGTCAAGCTCATTGATGAACTCTCCAAGGGAACCTGGAGGGCGATAGATGACAAGGATATTAAGCTTAAATGGGCTAGTGACTGTGACAGCGTGGAATTCAAATGAGGAGATAGACAGATGGGTTAGGGGAAAAATTGAGAATGACCACTTGGGAGAGATGAGGATTCCTGTGCCACCACCCCTCTGACCAGATGCTCTCGGGGTATGCGAGAACACATGGTCAGACGAGGAGAGAGCAGTAGTAGTAGTTTTCAGTGGTAATCCATGTTTCCGTCAGTGCCAGGAAGTCGAGGGACTGGAGGGTGGCATAGGCTGGGATGAAGTCAGCCTTGTTGGCGGCAGAACGGCAGTTCCAGAGGCTGCCTGAGACCTGGAACTCCAGGTGTGTGGTGCGTGCAGGGACCACCAGGTTAGAGAGGCAGCAGCCACGCGGTGTGAGGCGTTTGTGTAGCCTGTGCGGAGAGGAGAGAACAGGGATAGGCAGAGGCATAGTTGACAGGCTGCAGCAGATGGCTACAATAATGCAGAGGAGATCGGGATGAAATGAACTAAACATCAGGGAAAGGAGAGAGCAGGCCTCCCTCACCAAAAAAAAAATATATATATAACTCTCCCAACTTCCACCTCAGAAACTATAATTGTTTCACTGAACCACCCGAGTAAAACTCTCCCAACTTCCACTTTAGAAATTAGAATTGTAGTAAACTACAGCAGACTGTTATCAGTAGCTGTAATTAAGTACAGCAGCTACCAACCACCTAACGTTAATGCCTCGGATGAGGTTAGAAAAACAGCTGAATGGTAGCAGCTAGCTGGCTCAATCACAGGTACTCTTAAGCATGAAATAACATTGGAAACAATTAACCATAGTTGCAAAAAGTTACCAGTAGCTACCCGCTAGCTAGCTAGCTTTGTTGGTCCAAGTAGTGGGTAGGCTAGCCTCGTGCTTCGCCGGAGTCCGCCGAATACAGTCCTTACCTACAATAATTACCTACAATAACCTTCAATAACTACCTGAGTAAGCTACCTATAATACCAAACTACAATACCTACCTACAATCTAAATACATGGTTTAAGCTTAACTCAACACCATATAAGAAGCCAAGCTTACCTTTCATAACGCAGCAACGATTAAACGTTGGGTAGCTAGCACAAAGATATTGTATTTAGCTACCACAGCCTGCTGGTAGTGTTGGCTGGCTAGCAATGGCTACTGTGTTGACTTTGTTTGAAAAACGGCGTCGCTGCGAACGAATGTAGCTGGCTAAAAGGATATTGTTTTTAGTTGCAACCGTTGCTAATAGCAACTCGCCAGCTAATCCAGGAGGTGAGTTAGCTAGCTAGCTTCGTGCTACATCCGGCACCGCCGAATACAAAAGTAACCTACAATAACTACACAACAGCTACCCACAACAGCCCACGATGCCTACCTATACTACTTAATAATATACAGCCCACGATGCCTACCTATAGTACCTAACTACAATCTAAATACATAGTTTAAGCCTTACTCGACAAAGCCCAAGCTATGTATAAAGCCAAACTGGCAGACTGCAATCAGTAGCCGAAATTAAGTACAGCAGCTACCAACCACCTAACGTTAATGATAATGAGGTTAGAAAAACAGCTGAAGGTGGCAGCTAGCTGGCTCAATTACAGGTACTCTTAAGCGTGAAATAACATTGGAAACAGCTAACCACAGTTGCTAAAAGTTACCGGTAGCTACCCGCTAGCTAGCTAGCTTTGTTGGTCCAAGTAGTGGGTAGGCTAGCCTCGTGCTTCGCCGGAGTCCGCCGAATACAGTCCTTACCTACAATAATTACCTACAATAACCTTCAATAACTACCTGAGTAAACTATCTATAATACCTAACTACAATACCTACCTACAATCTAAATACATGGTTTAAGCTTTACTCAACACCATATAAGAAGCCAAGCTTACCTCCTGCTAGAGAAAACACAACCTCTCCCGTCAGCATCCCAGCATCCCAGTCTATGAACAACAGCATCCCAGTCTATGAACAACAACAATACCATGCACCCACTAGTGGTCAAAAGATTTTTGGCGCTCCAAAGATACGGTACAGTACTGTATTCTGTGGGGTAGAATTACTGTACCATTCGAAATACAGCAATTCTTTCCCCGCCCACAACATTTTCCCACAATGCACCATAATTTACAGTATGCTGCAGTAAAAAGTTTCAGAGTATTTCCGTATAATTTACAGTTTTCTGTTACAGTGCACCCTTGCCTTGCCTATTGGAACAGAGTATGGATCTGGAACAAAATATAAGTTCATCAACATTCAGAAGCACTTGTGCAAAACTTAACAATTATGGCCTTATTCCAGTGTAGCTTTGATGGACTTAAGTTTAAATATGTATGTAAGTACAGGTATGCAAGTAGCCTACTTACTATTGCTGATTCTGTTTTTCAAAAGGAAACAGAATAATGTAGTACTGCATACCTACATGTAACTACTAGTACTTACTAGCGTGTTACAAGATAGTTACATTGGTAATTAGTTACTCAGGTATAAGGCCTAAGCAAAGTAAAGTCTGACCACTTATTTGGTCCAACCAATCAGTGTAGTTATGGCACAGTTGAGGAACGGAATTGAACTCTCCTTGGTCGATGATCATCTATTGTGTTCATTGGACAAAATCACATATTTTTGTTAATATTGCTACAAAAGTTATTACTACCAAAATTTGTTTTTTGTTTAATACCATATTATAATCGGGTTTGCAGCTGGTTGCCTTGTTTTTTAAAGTTGATTCAACTTCAAATGTTTTACACTGTATGCACATCAATAGCAGTAGCAGGTATAATAAGCTGAGTTTGCTGTAAAACGTTAGTGCATAATGCATATATCAAATTTAGGAAAGGGCTGCTCATTTGAATTTCCTGTCTTTTTTGGCTATTGCCAACTATGTAAATTAAAATGTAGTTTTTGTATTTCATAGTAATATGGTTGGTATTACTATCTTACCTAAATGTACTTAAATAAGTAGGCTACACAAGGTTCACTCTATATCATGTTGACCTTGTTTAGAGATATATTTGGGACATAAAAGGTACACAGGGTACTCGCTGAGATGGTGGATGCAAGTGAAAAGACTGAATCAACTCCAGTCAGTCAGTATGTCAGGAAATACAGTAAACGAAGTGGCCAACAGGCTGTGTGAAAGAACAGACCATTGCCCTCAGATGCCCACTGCAAGCTACTGTATGTTCTGTCATGTTCCAGTAAAATATATGCCATTATTTGTGCAATACTTGATTGAAAATAAAAAAATGTGAGCCATAGTCATTTGCGTGATTACCTGTAAAACAAAGAAAATATAGATGTATGAAAAGACTGTTCATGTAGCACATGGGGATATGTGAAACTCACTCCTCAGCCTGAAGTGTTCCCACGAATAGATAGTTTTTCGGTGGTGCCGACTGGTAAGACGCTTCGGAAGGGCGCTCAAATGTGCTAGCAAGGCAGAGGTCCTGGGTTCAAAGGTGTGAGGCGCATCAGAAGGAAGGGGTACTCGCTTAGCAAGCAGCGTGACATCCGTTACATTCAGTTCATAAATACATTTATAATAACTATATAGTATCTAATACCTGATGGCACATGCGGATGAACTGCAGCTCATAAATCTACTTCAGTGTTTTTTTTCTTTCAAGCTTCATTTAGTGACTCTATTCTCAGTCTGATTGATCTGGAGTTGCCCCATAGAGGGGCTTGTGACTAGCCTTCTCCAGGACTTCCATGCTGTCCCGTAGACTCACTGCTATGGAGAAGTTATTGGGCTTCAGGGTCAGTCCGTAGGTGTAGTCAATGGTGGGCGGCTTGTCCGGGTCGGGACTAAAGTGGGCCTGGTGCACCAGCAATGCTGTAAATAGGAACAGCTGCATCTTTGACAGTTCCTCTCCGATGCACCGCCGCTTTCCCAAGGAGAAGATGAGCACGCTGCTGGCCATGTCTTTGTTCAGCGAGCCGTCCTGGTCCAGGAAGCGCAGGGGGTCAAAGGTCTCCGGGTGCGTCCACTTGGTGGAGTCGTGGTTGCTGGACCACTGGTTGATGAAGATCACTGTGTCCTTGGGGATGGTGTAGCCCATGATGGTGGTGTCGGTGATGGTGCTGTGGGGGATGGTGAGCGGCACGAAGCTGGTGAAGCGCATCACCTCGTAGAGGAAGGCCATCACGTAAGGCAACTGCGACTGGTCCTCGATGATGGGCAGATGGCTCCGGTCGACCACTTTGTCCACTTCCTCCTGGAGACGCAGCTGGATATGAGGAAACCTATATAGGAAAAGGTCAAAGGTGAATGCTCAGATCACAGGTATCTAAATCATTTCCTAAATTATTTCCTATTGAGAAGCTAACCTCTATTTCAACGCTGAGGGCATTCTCAATACAGTAGTGATAAATCATTTTTGGTGGGTAACTATGGGTTCTTTGCACAATTTGTTATTTGGTAGCATGGTTACAGTTGCCAACATGCTTATTGCGATAAGTATTCGGAATTAGTAGTAATTAGTTAAGTGATACAGTGCATTCAGAAAATATTCAGACCCCTTCCATTTTTCAACATTTTGTTACATTACAGCCTTATTCTAAAATTGATTAAATAAATAAATGTTGTCATTAATCTACACACAATACCCCATAATGATAAAGCGAAAACAGGTTTTTTGAATTTTTTGCAAATAAAAAAAAAGGACTCAGAATCAACAAGGTAGGGATAAAAACACAGCAAACAGAGGACATAGAAAGCACAGTATGTGGGTATGTGTGGGTGTATTGTGATGGAAGGTGGGGTGTGTGTTTTTGTGTTTGTAAAAGTGAGTGAAAATGGGTGAAAATTGAAATGGTTGTGAATACCAGAGCCCATGTGTGTCTGCGAGCAGGGGTTGTGAGAGAGAGCTTTTTTTGTGCAGATATGGGATATACATTTTAAAATAAATTATAAATCTGGTTTGGTTATTTATTGTGCTATCATGATGGAAAGGTCCCCAACCCTATACCCTAGACACCCATCTGAGCGACCCATACACTAAGGAGAAGGCCTTATCTGTTTTATGGGCCTACTGTAAGTAGCCTACACGCAGCCAAAACAGAAACATAAATGCGGTCAGAGACCCACTAAAGTAGCACCGCCCCCCCCCCCCCCCAAGATTCTGAGCCTGCCTGGCAGGGTTGGTCCTACAAAGCCAAAGCCCCCTGATAGGTGAGCATAATATACAAAGAATTTCTGCTGCTAATGAGAACCTTGATGACCTTGTACCTAGCCGGTGGGGATTCCGGTGGGGTGCCCCTACACAGGTAGTGGCAGTGCTGGCAACACTAGCTACAGTAACCCATGGGGAGGGGGTCACACTCAGACAATCAGAGAGGAGGCAAATTACTGTGGCCCTGGTGTCACGGAATGATCAAAGGTCTGACTGCACAGAGATGCTTGGGAAATTGGTCACAACGGGGGACCAGCGTGTGTGTGTTTCAGGGGAAGGGGGTGTACCTGATCTCCAACAGCTAGGACTTGACATTGGTTAATCAAATTTCCAAATTTGTGCCCATTTTTCTGATACATTTTGCATGCCTTCTCGAACAGCTGCAACTGTATATGCATTCGCACATCAAGTCCTTTCTTGAGTTGGGCTCGGGGATGGAACAACTGTTGAACATCTGAGCTTGTGTTTGTTTTGTGGGGGAGAGGGGTCGAGGGTGTATGAGTATGTGTGTGTGTATCCCACATCTGTTGCTATGGGGTTATGGTGTTAGGGACAATATAGGATGAATCACAATAAATGTTTGCTAAAATAATAATTGATTGGCAAAAATGTAATCTTTGTAATGGCAATACTGTTTATAGGTAACAATATTTCGCATTAACTGCCTACATGATCATGCATATTATTTGTGAATTGTAGAAATTAAGATACTCAACATTTTTTATATATACAGTGCCTTCGGAAAGTATTCAGACCCCTGGACTCTTTTCACATTTTGTTACGTTACAGCCTTATTCTACAATAGATTAAATAAATAAATAAAAATGCAGCAATCTACACACAATACCCCATAATGACAAAGTGGGAGAAAAAAACGTTTATTTTTTTCACATTTATAAAAATAAAAAACAGAAATACCTTATTTACCGTGTTTACATAAGTATTCAGACCCTTTGCTATTAGACTCGAAATTGAGCTCAAGTGCATCCTGTTTCCATTGATCATCCTTGAGATGTTTCTACAACTTGATTGGAGTACACCTGTGGTAAATTCAATTGATTGGACATGATTTGGAAAGGCACACACCTGTCTATATAAGATCCCACAGTTGACAGTGCATGTCAGAGCAAAAACCAAGCCATGAGGTTGAAGGAATTGTCTGTAGAGCTCCGAGACAAGATTGTGTCGAGGCACAGATCTGGGGAAGGGTACCAAAAAATGTTGGCAGGATTAAAGGTCCCCAAGAACACAGTGGCCTCCATCATTCATAAATGGAAGAAGTTTGGAACCACCAAGACTCTTCCTAGAGCTGGCCGCCCGGCCAAACTGAGCAATCGAGGGAGGAGGGCCTTGGTCAGGGAGGTGACCAAGAACCCGGTGGTCAGTCTGACAAAGCTCCAGAGTTTCTCTGAGGAGCACATCACCAATCAGGTCTTTATGGTAGAGTGGCCAGACGGAAGCCACTCCTCAGTAAAAGGCACATGACAGCCCGCTTGGAGTTTGCCAAAAGGCACCTAAAGGACTCAGACAATCAGAAACAAGATTCTCTGGCCTGATAAAACCAAGATTGAACTCTTTGGCCTGAATGCCAAGCGCCACGTCTGGAGGAGACCTGGCACTATCCCTATGGTGAAGCATGGTGGTGGCAGCATCATGCTGTGGGGATGTTTTTTAGCGGCAGGGACCGGAAGACGAGTCAGGATCGAGGGAAAGATGAACAGAGCAAAGTACAGAGAGACCGTTGATGAAAACCTGCATCAGAGCACTCAGGACCTCAGACTGGGGCAAAGGACAGCGACCCTAAGCACACAGCCAAGACAACGCAGGAGTGGCTTCAGGACAAGTCTCTGAATGTCCTTGAGTGGCCCAGCCCGGACTTGAACCCAATCTAACATCTCTGGAGAGACCTGAAAATAGCTGTGCAGCGACGCTCCCCATCCAACCTGACAGAGCTTGAGAGGATCTGCAGAGAAGAATGTGAGAAACTCCGCAAATACAGGTGTGCCAAGCTTGTAGTTTCATACCCAAGATGACTCGAGGCTGTAATCGCTGCCAAAGGTGCTTCAACAAAGTACTCAGTAAAGGGTCTGAATACTCATGTAAATTTGATATTAAAGTTTTGGATTTTTAATACATTTGCAAAAATTTCTAAAAACCTGTTTTTGCTTTGTCATTATGGGGTATTGTGTGTAGATTGATGACAAAAAAACAGCAATTTAATCCATTTTAGAATAAGGCTGTAACGTAACACAATGCGGAAAAAGTCAAAGGGTCTGAATACTTTACGAATGCACTGTATATAATGATAAATAGAATTGAAACTTGTATCTCATTATGGTAAATAGTGAAATAAGTATAGCCAGCTATAATTCTAATGGCTTAGCAGATAATAAGAAAAGACGATCAGTATTTACCTGGCTAAAAGACAAGGAATATATGATCTACTGTTTACAGGAAACTCATTCAACAATTTTAGATGAAGTTGTGTGGGAACAGGACTGGGGGGGGGGGGGGGGGGGGGGGGGTGGCAAATATACTTCTCCCATGGGCAAAGAAACTCAAAAGGGGTGATGATATTAATTAACAATAATTTTGATCCGAATGTGGACCATAAACAGATATGATGATCCATGCTTCTTTGAAAATATATATAATAATTGATCAAAGATGGCGTAGCAGTCCAAGATGGCGTAGCAGTGCGGTCGTGTACTCTGTTGTGTGTCCGTGTAAATAGCCTGTTCTTTCTTTTTTTGTCTTTTGTTGTATATATTCCCCTATCACACTTTTCATCCTTCTACTAAATATACTTTCCTGCAACTCGCCTCACTCAATGTGGAACGGATTCTATTATTTACTTACCTTTTATCTAGAATCTCCAGTTGAAACTAGCTAGCCAGCTAACTAGCTACTTGCTATTAGCCACCGTTAGCGGTTTTCACCCAGAACATCGGATTTTCTGCCGGAATAACTGAATCACTGGACCTTAACACCGGATCGCTACCAGCTAGCCGCAACCGAATGGATGTTGCTGTTGGCTAATCACCACTGCCCCTGAAGCAAGCACCAGTTAGCCTTGAGCTAGCCTCAAGCCAGGCCCATATCCCGGCTATCTACCTCTCTGTCTACCGGTCGGGAGTAGCCAGCTAACTAGCTACTTGCTATTAGCCACCGTTAGCGGGGATTTTTCACCATTGTCCGTGGCCTGCACTACCTACCAGCCAGCTCTAGCCTGGACTATTATCGGCCAGTCTGCACAGCGCGTTATCGACACAGAACATATCGGATTTTCTGCCGGAATCACTGAATCACTGGACCTTTAACACCGGATCATCGCAACTAGCTAGCTGCAACCAAATGGATGTTGTGGTTGGCTAATCAGCCTTGAGCTAGCCTCGAGTCAGGCCCATCTCCCGGCTATCTACCTCTTTGTCAACCGGACGGGACCTCCTAGTGTTGACACGGAGCCCCGCCGATCCATCATGACTGGTCTGCCGACGTAATCGTCTGTGGTTTCAACAGGCTTCCCGTTGCGACGACCACGAAGATCCATCTGCTAGCCCCGGCCCGCTAGCACACGCAAACAACAGCCGTGCTTCCTGATCGCCTGTGCTGTAGCCCCAATTCGAACTGCTCTCGGACTCACATTGCTGTTCACTGGACCTTATGATCACTCAGCTGCACAGCTGATGCCTGCTGGACTGTTCCTTTACACGGTACCCTGTCCTGTTTTATCTGTTTAGCCTCAGCCCAAACTTTCATCATCAATTAACCAGTTGTCTTAGCTCTCTCGAATAACACCTGTGATTGCTTTATACCTCTCTCCCATGTCAATATGCCTTGCCTATTGCTGTTCCAGTTTGTTCTTATTATACAATTTCACTGTAGAGCCCCAAGTCCCTCTCAAACTGCCTCAAATAGCTCCTTGTTCCACCCCCCATACACGCGGAGACCGGCTCAATCGGTGCCTCCAGTGATGCTATCTCTTTCATTGTTACCCAACGCTTAGGTTTACCTCCACTGTACTCATATCCTTCCATATCCTTGTCTGTACATAATGGCCTGAATCTATTCTACAACGCCCGGAAATCTGCCCCCTTTATTCTCTGTACCCAACGCACTAGAAGACCAGTTCTTAAATCCTTAAGCCGTATCCTTATTCTAGTCCTCCTCTGTTCCTCTTGTGATGTAGAGGTTAACCCAGGCCCTGCAGCCCCCAGTATCACTCCTACTCCCCAGGCGCTATCATTTGTTGACTTCTGTAACCGTAAAAGCCTTGGCTTTTTGCATGTTAACATCAGAAGCCTCCTTCCTAAGTTTGAGTTACTCACTGCATTAGCACACTCCACCAACCCTGATGTTCTAGCAGTGTCTGAATCCTGGCTTAGGAAGGCCACAAAAATTCAGAAATGTCCATCCCCAGCTACAACATTTTCCGTCTGGATAGAACTGCCAAAGGGGGTGGAGTTGCAATCTACTGTAGAGATAGCCTGCAGAGCTCTATCATACTATCCAGGTCTGTGGCCAAACAGTTTGAGCTCCTACTACTAAAAATCCACCTTTCCAGAAATAAGTCTCTCACTGTTGCCGCTTGCTACAGACCCCCCTCAGCCCCCAGCTGTGCCCTGGACACCATATGTGAATTGATTGCCCCCATCTATCCTCAGAGTTCGTACTGCTTGGTGACCTAAATTGGGATATGCTTAACACCCCGGCCATCCTACAATCCAAACTAGATGCCCTCAATCTCACACAAATTATCAAGGAACCTACCAGGTACAACCCTAAATCCGTAAACATGGGCACCCTCATAGATATCATCCTGACTAACTTACCCTCTAAATTCACCTCTGCTATCTTCAACCAGGATCTCAGCGATCACTGCCTTATTGCCTGCGTCCGTAACGGGTCCGCGGTCAAACGACCACCCCTCATCACTGTCAAACTCTCCCTAAAACACTTTGGCGAGCAGGCCTTCCTAATTGACCTGGTCCAGGTATCCTGGATGGATATCGATCTCATTCCGTCAGTAGAGGATGCCTGGTTGTTCTTTAAAAGTGCTTTCCTCTCAATCTTAAATAAGCATGCCCCGTTCAAAGAATTCAGAACTAAGAACAGATATAGCCCCTGGTTCTCCTCAGACTTGACCAGCACAAAATCATCTGTGGCGTACTGCATTAGCCCCTGCGATATGCAACTTTTCAGGGAAGTTAGGAACCAATATACACAAGCAGTTAGGAAAGCAAAGGCTAGCTTTTTCAAACGGAAATTTGCATCCTGTAGCACTAACTCCAAAAGGTTTTGGGACACTGTAAAGTGTCCCAGCTGCCCACTGCACTGAGGCTAGGAAACACTATCACCACCGATAAATCTGCAATAATCGAGAATTTCAACAAGCATTTTGCTACGGCTGGCCATGCTTTCCACCTGGCTACCACTACCCCGGCCACCAGCTCTGCACCCTCCGCTGCAACTTGCCCATGCCCCCTCCGCTTCTCCTTCACACAAATTCAGACAGCTGATGTTCTGAAAGAGCTGCAAAATCTGGACCCCTACAAATCATCTGGGCTATACAATCTGGACCCTTTCTTTCTCAAATTAGCAGCCGAAATTGTCGCAACCCTATTACTAGCCTGTTCAAACTCTCTTTTGTAACGTCTGAGATCCCCAGAGATTGGAACGCTGCCGCGGTCATCCCCCTCTTCAAAGGGGGTGACACTCTAGATCCAAACTGTTACAGCCCTATATCCATCCTGCCCTGCCTTTCGAAGGTTTTTGAAAGCCAAGTTAACAAACAGATCACCGACCATTTTGAATCCCACCGTACCTTCTCCGCTATGCAATCCGATTTCCGAGCTGGTCATGGGTGCATCTCAGCCACGCTCAAGGTCCTAAACGATATTATAACCGCGATCGATAATAGACAGTACTGTGCAGCCGTCTTCATCGACCTGGCCAAGGCTTTCGACTCTGTCAACCACCGCATTCTTATTGGCAGACTAAATAGCCTTGGTTTCTCAAATGACTGCCTCGCCTGGTTCACCAACTACTTCTCAGATAGAGTTCAATGTGTCAAATCGGAGGGCCTGTTGTCTGAACCTATGGCAGTCTCTATGGGGGTGCCACAGGGTTCAATTCTCAGGCCGACTCTTTTCTCTGTGTATATCAATGATGTCGCTCTTGCTGCTGGTGACTCTCAGATCCACCTCTACGCAGACGAAACCATTTTGTATACATCTGGCCCTTCATTGGACACTGTGTTAACAAACCTCCAAACAAGCCTCAATACCATACAACACTCCTTCCGTAGCCTCCAACTGCTCTTAAACACTAGTAAAACTAAATGCATGCTCTTCAATCGAATGCTGCTGGCACCCGCCCACCCGACTAGAATCACTACTCTCAGCGGGTCTGACCTAGAGTATGTGGACAACTACAAATACCTAGGTGTCTGGTTAGACTGTAACTCTCCTTCCAGACTCACATTAAGCATCTCCAATCCAAAGTTAAATCTAGAATCGGCTTCCTATTTCGCAAACAAAGCCTCCTTCACTCATGCTACCAAACATGCCCTCGTTAAACGGACTATCCTACCGATCCTTGACTTTGGCGATGTCATTTACAAAATAGCCTCCAACACTCTACTCAGCAAATTGGATGTAGTCTATCACAGTGCCATCCGTTTTGTCACCAAAGCCCCATATACTACCCACCACTGTGACCTGTACGCTCTTGTTGGCTGGTCCTCACTACATATTCATCGCCAAACCCACTGGCTCCAGGTCATCTATAAATCAGTGCTAGGCAAATCCTCGCCTTATCTTAGCTCATTGGTCACCATAGCAACACCCACCCGTAGTATGCGCTCCAGCAGGTATATCTCACTGGTCATCCCCAAAGCCAACACCTCCTTTGGCCGCTATTCCTTCCAGTTCTCTGCTGCCAATGACTGGAACGAACTGCAAAAATCTCTGAAGCTGGAGACTCTTATCTCCCTCACTAACTTTAAGCATCAGTTGTCAGAGCACCTTACCGATCACTGCACCTGTACACAGCCCATCTTAAATTAGCCCACCCAACTACCTCATCCCCATATTGTTATGTATTTTGCTCATTTGCACCCCAGTATCTCTATTTGCACATCATCTCTTGCACATCTATCATTCCAGTGTTAATATTAAATTGTAATTATTTTGCACTATGGCCTATTTATTGCCTTACCTCCATAACTTGCTACATTTGCACACACTGTATATATATTTTCTATTGTATTGTTTACCCCATATGTAACTCTGTGTTGTTGTTTTTTATCGCACTGCTTTGCTTTATCTTGGCCAGGTCGCAGTTGTAAATGAGAACTTGTTCTCAACTGGCTTACCTGGTTAAATAAAGGTGAAATTAAAAAATAATTTTTAAAAACCTACAAGCAATACAAGACTCTATTATTATGGTGGGAGATTATAATACGTTTTTAAATACCTCAATGGACCATAAAGGAAATCACACTACAAACTACAATCACCCTCATGCACTTAAGGAAATCACAAATGTCATGGATATATTGGAACTAGTGGATATATGGAGGCTTAAATATCTTGACCTAGTGAGATATACATGGCGGAGGCTCAATAAAGCTTGTCGTCTTGACTACTTTCTTATGTCATTCTCGCTGGCACCTAAAGATTAAAAAGTGTTGATAGGGGACAGAATGCAGTCGGACCATCAAATAATTGGCATATATATTACTCCTACAGAATTTCCATGTTGGCGAAGATATTGGAAATTTTATCAAAGCCTAAAAAAATTGTAGATTGTCAGATACTCAACAAGAACGTCTGATTTCATTATTACTGAAACAGGATCCAAGTGGTAAATATAAAGATCCGGTCAATTAAGAAAATTGGAGGCCCCTTACACTTCAGTGTTGTGATGCAAAAATTCACCACCAATTGTGCAAGCTCCCACTTAAAAAGATGAGAGAGGCCTGTAATTTTCATCATAGGTACACGTCAACTATGACAGACAAATTGAGAAAAAAAATCCAGAAAATCACATTGTAGGATTTTGAATGAATTTATTTGCAAATTATGGTGGAAAATAAGTATTTGGTCACCTACAAACAAGCAAGATTTCTGGCTCTCACAGACCTGTAACTTCTTCTTTAAGAGGCTCCTCTGTCCTCCACTCGTTACCTGTATTAATGGCACCTGTTTGAACTTGTTATCAGTATAAAAGACACCTGTCCACAACCTCAAACAGTCACACTCCAAACTCCACTATGGCCAAGACCAAAAAGCTGTCAAAGGACACCAGAAACAAAATGGTAGACCTGCACCAGGCTGGGAAGACTGAATCTGCAATATGTAAGCAGCTTGGTTTGAAGAAATCAACTGTGGGAGCAATTATTAGGAAATGGAAGACATACAAGACCACTGATAATCTCCCTCGATCTGGGGCTCCACGCAAGATCTCACCCCGTGGGGTCAAAATGATCACAAGAACGGTGAGCAAAAATCCCAGAACCACACGGGGGGACCTAGTGAATGACCTGCAGAGAGCTGGGACCAAAGTAACAAAGCCTACCATCAGTAACACACTACGCCGCCAGGGACTCAAATCCTGCAGTGCAAGACGTGTCCCCCTGCTCAAGCCAGTACATGTCCAGGCCCGTCTGAAGTTTGCTAGAGTGCATTTGGATGATCCAGAAGAGGATTGGGAGAATGTCATATGGTCAGATTAAACCAAAATATAACTTTTTGGTACAGAAAACGTTTGACCTGTGTCATTGCCAACAAAGGGTATATAACAAAGTATTGAGAAACTTTTGTTATTGACCAAATACTTATTTTCCACCATAATTTGCTAATAAATTCATTAAAAATCCTACAATGTGATTTTCTGGATTTTTTTTTCTCATTTTGTCTGTCATAGTTGACGTGTACCTATGATGAAAATTACAGGCCTCTCTCATCTTTTTAAGTGGGAGAACTTGCACAATTGGTGGCTGACTAAATATTTTTTTTCCCCACTGTATGTATAGTAACCCTAGGTGTAAAATAGTAAATAATGACTACTTCCCTGAAAGTATTAAACTGTCAAGAGGAGTAAAACAAGGTTGTCCACTATCGGCATATCTATTTATTATGGCCATCGATATGTTAGCTATTAAAATCAGATCCAACAATAATATCAAGAGGTTAGAAATCAAGGGCTTAAAAACAAAGGTGTCATTGTACACTGATGATTCATGCTTTCTTTTAAATCCACAATTTGGATCCCTCCACAGCCTCATAGAGGATCTAGATACTTTTTCTAACCTCTCTGGATTACAACCAAATTATGATAAGTGTACTATATTACGTATTGGATCACAAAAAAACGTGTACATTACCGTGTAGTTTACCAATAGAATGGTCTGATGGTGATGTGGACATACTCGGTATACATATCCCAAAATAAATAAATGGTCTTACTACAATATATTTTATTAGAAAGTTAGCAAAAAATAGATACGATTTTGCTACCATGGAATGGAAAATTGTGGAAAAATCACCCTGATTAACTCTTTAGTCATATCCCAGTTTACCTATTTGCTTTTGGTCTTGCCTACACCTAGCGACCTGTTTTTTAAATTATATGCTAAAAAATATTCAATTTGATTTGGAACGGCAAGCCAGACAAAATTAAACTGGCCTATTTATTTAATGAATATGAATTCGGAGGGCAGAAATTATTAAATATTAAAACATTAGACCTCTCACTAAAGGCGTCAGTCATACAAAAGTTATATTTAAATCCGAACTGGTTCTCTAGCAGATTAGTAAGAATGTCTCACCCTGTCACGTCCACTCCCGCTACCCCTCTCCGGCGCTTGACGTCGCCGGTCTACTAACTACCGGTCCTGGCAACCCATCCTTATGCACACCTGGCAACCTTCATTACGCACACCTGCGCCTCATTAGGCACACATGGACTTCATCACCTCCCTGATTACTTCCCCTTTATATAGCACTCCGTTGTTATCACTCACCAGGCAATATTGTTCATGTTTAGATGCTTTTCTTGTTTTGTATTGTTCATGTTTTTCATTATTTAAACTCACTAACTGCACTTGCTTCCTGATTCCTTACATCTACGTTACAGAATATTGTCTCACAGAATGGAAGCAGCAGCCAACCGAGACATCTCCCAGATGGTCGGCGAACAGGGAGACCTACTTCGCCAACACCACGATCAGCTGGCGCAACTGGGGATGGCGATGGATGAGGTCCTCTGCGTTCTTCAACGTCTAGATCTTCCCCAAGGGGCTTCACCCCCAATGAGCGGAGGATCCTCTACCATGAGTCGACCCAGCAAGCCAGCACCCCAGCCCATTCAGAAGTCTGCCCAGGTCAGCGATGCCCGTTTGTCTCTTCCAGAGAAATACGACAGGATACCATCCAAATGCCGTGGCTTCCTCCTCGAGTGCTCCCTCTATTTTGCTCATCAAGCGGAAGCCCCCACCAGGAGAGGTCCAAGGTTGCCAAGGTTATTTCCTTGTTGCCCGGGCGGGCGTTGGAATGGGCTACGGCCATCTGGGAGAGATGAGAGGAGGAGCTGTGTTCCTATGGGAGGTTCATGGCTCTGTTCAGGAGAGTTTTCGATCATCCACCAGAGGGCAGAGAGGGGGGTGAGCGCCTACTCCAACCACGGCAGGAGGACCAGACCACTGTGGAGTATGCCCTCACCTTTCGTACAGTGGCAGCATCCAGCAGATGGAATGAGCGCTCCGCAACTTATTCAGAAGAGGATTGCGTGAGGAGGTCCAGACGGAGCTGGCATGCCGAGATGAAACCCTCTCATTGGATGCACTCATCGCGATGGCCATCCATCTGGATAACCTCCTTCGGGAGCGTTGGCACTCCCATCGCCTTTCTCCCTCCTTCATTGACCGATCTGAGTCAGAGCCTGAACCCATGGAGGTAGGGGTCACACGCCTCCCCGCGGCTGAACAACACCATCGGAGACAACTGGGGCTCTGTCCCTATTGTGGCCAGGAGGGACACCAGCTTCAATGGTGTCCGCTACGTCCTAACCCGAGAGTCACTAGAGCAGAGGGACGGTCCAGTCTCCTGGTGTAGGTGTGAGCATTCCATCATCTTCACTCTCCACCAAACCCTTCTTAGTACCGATTTCACTAGCTGGCTCTCCCTCATGTGTTGTTTCCACAGCTCTAGTGGACTCCGGAGTCACAGGGAATTTTATTGACCAGGCCCTTGCCTCCTCCCTGAACATAACATCATACCCGCTCTCCTCTCCGTTTCCGCACTGGATAACCGACCACTGGGATCTGGCACAGTCAAACACATCACAGCACCACTCACCATCACCGTGGGACCCCTGCACCAAGAAAGCCTCCCCTACCTCATGATCCAGGCACCCGTACACAAAGTCGTCCTCGGTCTCCCGTGGGAGAATGGAAGATGGCCTTCTGCACAGTGTCTGGCCACTATGAGTACTTGGTGATGCCTTATGGTTTAACCATAGAGCCGTCGGTGTTCCAGGCATTCGTGAACGAGATGTTTCGGGACATGCTTGGGCACCAGGTGGTTGTGTATATTGACAACTTCCTGATCTACTCGGCCACCTTGGAGGAGCACATCGCCCACGTCCGGATAGTCCTGGGACGCCTCCTGGAGAACCATCTGTACGTGAAAGCGGAGAACTGCCAGTTCCATCAGGTCTCCTTCTAGGGATATCGGATCAGCCCGCAGGGAGTGGTTGTGGAGGAAAGGAAGGTAGATGTGGTCAGGTCATGGCCAGTCCCAAACCCCATAAAGGGCTCGCAACGGTTTTTGGGGTTTGCCAACTTTTACTGCCACTTCATCAGGAACTTCAGCTCCATCGCCTCACCTCGCTCCTCAAAGGTGGTCTCTGTAAGTTTTGCGTGGAATCCTGCAGCTGATGAGGCCTTCCGCCTGCTGAAGGGGAGTTTCACCTCTGCCACGTTGCTGAAACACCCAGACCCTACGCTGCCCTTCATGGTGGAGGTGGACGCCTCAGAAGTGGGCGTGGGGGCCTTTCTGTCACAACGTCAAGGTAATCCACAAAAACTGTATCCATGTGCATACCTCTAAAAAACTGTCCCCTGCAGCAAGGAACTATGACGTCGGTGATCAGGAGCTCCTAGCAGTGAAGTTGGCATTACAGGAGTGGAGACACTGGCTGGAGGGCGCCACGGACCCGTTTCTCATCCTCACCGACCATCGGAACTTGGAATACATATGGACAGCGAGGCGGCTGAACCCCCGCCAAGCAAGGTGGGCCCTTTTCTTTACTACAGTGAGGGAAAAAAGTATTTGATCCCCTGCTGATTTTGTACGTTTGCCTTACTGACAAAGAAATGATCAGTCTATAATTTTAATGGTAGGTTTATTTGAACAGTGAGAGATAGAATAACAACAACAAAATCCAGAAAAACACATGTCAAAAATGTTATAAATTGATTTGCATTTTAATTAGGGAAATAAGTATTTGACCCCTCTGCAAAACATGACTTAGTACTTGGTGGAAAAACCCTTGTTGGCAATCACAGAGGTCAGACGTTTCTTGTAGTTGGCCACCAGGTTTGCACACATCTCAGGAGGGATTTTGTTCCACTCCTCTTTGCAGATCTTCTCCAAGTCATTAAGGTTTCGAGGCTGACGTTTGGCAACTCGAACCTTCAGCTCCCTCCACAGATTTTCTATGGGATTAAGGTCTGGAGTCTGGCTAGGCCACTCCAGGACCTTAATGTGCCTCTTCTTGAGCCACTCCTTTGTTGCCTTGGCTGTGTGTTTTGGGTCATTGTCATACTGGAATACCCATCCACGACCCATTTTCAATGCCCTGGCTGAGGGAAGGAGGTTCTCACCCAAGATTTGACGGTACATGGCCCCGTCCATCGTCCCTTTGATGCGGTGAAGTTGTCCTGTCCCCTTAGCAGAAAAACACCCCCAAAGCATAATGTTTCCACCTCCATGTTTGACGGTGGGGATGGTGTTCTTGGGGTCATAGGCAGCATTCTTCCTCCTCCAAACACGGCGAGTTGAGAGAATGCCAAAGAGCTCCATTTTGGTCTCATCTGACCACAACACTTTCACCCAGTTCTCCTCTGAATCATTCAGATGTTCATTGGCAAACTTCAAACGGGCATGTATATGTGCTTTTTTGAGCAGGGGGACCTTGCGGGCGCTGCAGGATTTCAGTCCTTCGCGGCGTAGTGTGTTACCAATTGTTTTCTTGGTGACTATGATCCCAGCTGCCTTGAGATCATTGACAAGGTCCTCCCGTTTAGTTCTGGGCTGATTCCTCACCGTTCTCATGATCATTGCAACTCCACGAGGTGAGATCTTGCATGGAGCCCCAGGCCGAGGGAGATTGACAGTCTTTTGTGTTTCTTCCATTTGCGAATAATCGCACCAACTGTTGTCACCTTCTCACCAAGCTGCTTGGCGATGGTCTTGTAGCCCATTCCAGCCTTGTGTAGGTCTACAATCTTGTCCCTGACATCCTTGGAGAGCTCTTTGGTCTTGGCCATGGTGGAGAGTTTGGAATCTGCTTCTGTGGACAGGTGTCTTTTATACAAGTAACAAGCTGAGATTAGGAGCACTCACTTTAAGAGTGTGCTCCTAATCTCAGCTCGTTACCTGTATAAAAGACACCTGGGAGCCAGAAATCTTTCTGATTGAGAGGGGGTCAAATACTTATTTCCCTCATTAAAATGCAAATCAATTTATAACATTTTTGACATGCGTTTTCTGGATTTATTTTATTCTGGCTCTCACTGTTCAAATAAACCTACCATTAAAATTACAGACTGATCATTTCTTTGTCAGTGGGCAAACGTACAAAATCAGCAGGGGATCAAATACTTTTTTCCCTCACTGTAGATTCAACTTCACCTTGTCATACCGCACAGGTTCAAAGAACATCAAAGCCGATGCCCTGTCCCGACTCCACGATTCAGGAGAGGTTCCTATCCTGAGTGGTCCCATCATACTGCCCTCTCGAATCGTTGCCCCCATGCTCTGGGCCATAGACGTGGACATCCGGCAGGCTATGGAGAGGGAACCCGTACCAGCTACCTGTCCTCCAGAGCACACCTACGTTCCCACGGAGGTAAGGGATCGGCTTTTGACCTGGGCGCACACATCCGTTGCCGCTGGACACCCAGGTATCACCCGCACCACTCAATCCATCTCCATTAAGTACTGGTGGCCCACCTTGGCGCAGGACGTCTCCCGCTACATCAACTCCTGCTCCGTATGTGCCCAAACCAAGTCTCCCCAGAACGCACCAGCAGGGAAACTCCTTCCCCTCCCCGTGCCTCAGCGGCCTTGGACCCATCTGTCGATACAGTTTGTCACTGATCTTCCCCTGTCTGATGGTTTCACCACTGTTATGGTTGTTGTGGACAGATTCTCAAAATCCTGCCGTTTTATCCCTCTCTCTGGTCTCCCTACTGCTCTCCAGGTCGCTGAGGCACTGTTTCAGCAGGTCTTCTGGCACTATGGCCTTCCAGAGGATATCGTCTTCGACCATGGTCCCCAATTCACGTCACGTGTATGGAGAGCCTTCATGGAGAAGCTGGAGGTCATGGTCAGCCTCACATCTGGGTACCGGCCTCAGTCCAACAGGCAGGTGGAAAGGACCATCCAGGAGATGGGGAGGTTCCTGAGGAGTCAGGACCGGCAGAGGTAGTGGGCCCGGTATCTTCCCTGGGCGAAATATGGCCTGAACTCACTTCGTCATTCCTCCACCGGGTTGTCTCCCTTCCAGTGCATCCTGGGGTACCAACCGGCCCTGGCTCTGTGGACCATGAGCCAGATCGAAGCCCCTGCGGTGGATGAGTGGTTCCGGCACGCAGGGGAGGTTTGGGAAGCTGCCCACGTGAGGCTCCAATGCGCCGTCCAGTGCCAGAAGGAGCAGTCGGACCGCCACTGCAGTTAGGCACCCGTTTTCCATCCTGGTGATCGCGTCTGGCTCTCCTTAAGGAACCTCCTGCTTCGCCTGCCCTGCCGGAAGCTGAGCCCCCGGTTTGTGGGGCCATTCAAAGTCCTCCCGAGGGTCAATGAGGTAACTTATCGATTACAGCTTCCCAATGACTACCAGATCTCACCCTCTTTTCACATTTCCCTCCTCAGGCTGGTGGTTCCTGGTCCCCTGGCTGATGCCGTCCCCCACGACACCCCTCCGCCTCCCCTGGACATCGAGGGTAGTCCCGCCTATGCTGTCAGGTCCCTCCTGCACTCCAGATGTCTTGGGGGTCGGTACTGTAACGTCCCCTCCGGCTACCCCTCTCCCCGGTCTATTAACCACCGGTCCTGGAAACCCATCATTACGCACACCTTGCAACCTTCATTACGTACACCTGAGCCTCATTAGGCACACCTGGACTTCATCACCTCCCTGATTACCTCCCCTTTATATCACCCACCAGGCAACATGTTAAACTTTTTTCTTGTTTTGTATCGTTCATGTTCTTCATTATTAAACTCACTAACTGCACTTGCTTCCTGACTCCCTGCATCTACGTTACACACCCCATGTTCAAGAATGGCCTTTTTCACTTTATTCAGATTACAACCTCTCACTTTCGGTTATTTGAAAATGAAATCATCTCCAAAATATTGCTATTTTTAAAACAAGCCATAGAAAGTTGGTTGCAATTTCAGTTTAATCCACCAGAAAAGACAGAACAACAAATATTGCGGTTAACCTCTTAAGGATTAAACAATTTTTGCCGAAAATGACATACCCAAATCTAACTGCCTGTAGCTCAGGACTTGAAGCAAGGATATGCATATTATTGATACCATTTGAAAGGAAACGCTTTGAAGTTTGTGGATGTAGGAGAATGTTCTCCTTAATGTAGGAGAATATAACACATTAGATCTGGTAAAAGATAATACAAACAAAAAAACATGCAGTTTTCTTTTAGTTGTTTCTTTCATCAACTTTGAAATGCAATAGAAAGGCCACAATATAATATTGCAATTTAGATTTTTTAACCACTAGATGGCAGCAGTGTTTGTGCAAAGTTTCAGATTGATCCAGTGAAGCATTGCAATACTGGACTATTTTGTATCAAGTCTGCCCAAATGTGCCGAATTGGTCAATTTATATATTTTCAAGTACATAACTATAGAGAACATACAAAAATGATATGGTAATACAAAATGTAAGTTTACACACTCCCAGGAATGTCATACATGATGGATCATTAGCTTATACACTAACTTTCACACATCTAGATGGCCGGGTGGGGTGGGTGTGGAGCCAGAGACAGCAAGGGCTCAAACTGTAGAATCCAGTTCCTACATTTGAATTAAAAAATTGATTTTATCAAACAAAACTATGCTATATTTTATCTCTGGGACTCTCAGGATGACAAATCAGAGCAAGATTACTGAATGAAAGTACATTCTTACCTTCAGAGGTGAATGTATCAAACCAGTTGCCGTGATACGTTTTTTGTTGTTGTGCACTCTCCTCAAACAATAGCATGGTATTTTTTCACTGTAATAGCTACTAATTTAAGCTTTCTGCCCATATAAGACATGTCTATGTCCTGGAAAGTTTGCTGCTACTTACAATAGTCATGCTAATCACATTGGGCGCACGTTAGCTCAACCGTCCCGTATATGGGACACCGATCCCGTAGAGGTTAAACTAATTAATTAAAAAACCTTTTTCGAAAACATATTTCAAAAAGGTATAATCTTTGTAAATTATATCACAAATAGGACTGGTGGAGTTATGTCACACATGCAGCTAACAAAAATATATGTAAATGTCTGCTCTACCCAAAATTACAACCAACTAATTGCAGCAGTACTGCAAAAATGGAAGAGGCAAGTGGAAGGGGGAAAAAGTAAGGAACTTGTCTGTTGGTCCTGCATTAAATAACAAATTTGATTAAAGAAAATTGTGATAAATAAAAAATTGACAGAGGTGCCACATAGATTGCAAAATAGTTGGGAAGAGATTTTCGATGTACCGATTCCATGGCACATGGTTGATGAACTGATACGCAAAACAACGGCGGATTCAAAACTTTGAATTTTTCAATGTAAATTATTATACTAAATTCTTGTTATATAATTTATATATGGGGGATACAACCATCCCAGCTCTGCAGATTTTGCTGCGAAGAGACAGAATCATTAGATCATTTGTTTTGTACTGTCCGTATGTAGCTTGTTTTTGGTCGCAGGTCCAGGAATGGTTGAAAAAGTGCAACATATACCTGGAGCTAACTCTGCAGATAGCACTACTGGGTGATTTGAAAAGTCATAGTCAATCTATCAATAAAATAATAATACTTTAGCAAAAATGTTTATCTTTAATTTATAATCTGTACAAACTACGAGAATAGAAAAGTTCAGAACTTTTGTGAAACATCATAGCACAGTTGAAAAATATATGTCAAAAACAAATAAAAATGGATGGTGTTAAGAGATAGATGGGAGGGGTTGAGTGGAGCTGAAGGGTGGAATTAAAAACAACAAGATGTAACTAATGTAAAATATACTGTGTCCGTAAAATATATATAGGTTCAGAACTTTTTTGAAACATCACAGTTAAAAATATATGGCAAAATAGAAATCAAACTGGATGGGCTTCAGAGATAGATGGGAGGGGTTGATGGTAGCTGAAGGATGGGATTAAAAACAAACAAAAGATAACTATTGTCAAATACATTGTGTCCGTAACATGTATATAGTATGTATAAGATGGAAGTAGAAGCCTAAGTATTGTTATCCATTAGTTTACTCCAATTAGCAGAGTGGTGGTAGGGTTAGGGGAAAATAATAAAGGAAAATATATTTTTAAAATGTATATATATATATACCTTTGCCTTGATGACATCTTTGCACACTCTTGGCATTCTCTCGACCAAGGCCTGATTCACAAAGTACTGAGTAAAGGGTCTGAATAATTATGTAAATGTCATATTTCCGTGTTTTTTTTTGTTGGTCTTTGACATTATGGGGTATTGTGTGTAAATTGATGAGAGAGAGAAAAAAAACTATTTAAGCAATTTTAGAATAAGGCTGTAACGTAACAAAATGTGGGAAAAGTCAAGGGGTTTGAATACTTTCAGAATGCACTGTAATTCCAGAGAAGCCTGTGTTTTGAGGATATATTGGCAAGACTGTTGTTAGGCCCAAGACGAAGTCGAGAGCTGGCAAACTGTGCCAATATATCCTCCAAAGACCGCCTTCGAGGGCATTATCACTTTTAAACAAGAGGTTACTCTAAAAGAAATGTGATATTCAAATAATGATTTACATATTTCCATTAAAAACGTTATTTTGGTGAATTTATTCATACTATTTCATCCTTCCATGATATATAGTCCCAACACAAATCTAGGGTTGCTACCCAAGCCGGCAGGTCATTTGTTGTATTGGTTCGATTGCCAGAGAAGCGACCCAGTTGTTCAGTCTTTTTGTTCTGTATCAGTTGTTCTTACTAAATGTCATTACCATAATGGCTGGCAACGTTCTTATCCCTTGCTTGCTAGCTAGCCAACTATGGCTAATTTACAGTCAAGTCAAAAAGTGCAGCCAGAATAACAGCAAAGTAGCAGCATTTGCTTTTGTTTAAACTGTTTTCTAGAGACATTTATTTGGATACACCCATAACAATGAGCTAATGAGGCGCGATTTCGCCTGGCATAGAAAATGTGCTCTCTCATCAGGACACTGTTGTTCAGAGGAGCTAGCCAACAACACAGCTAACACAATCACTTCAGACTGAAGCTGGAAAGACTGCAAACTAGCTGCACTTCGTTTCATTTTACCTTTTTTCAAATTACATTTCTTTGTATATATCCATAAAAATTATTCATGGTTTCGACTGGTTGAGAAATGCTGCCTGCCTGTCTGTCTCCTCCCGACTCCGAACACATTCATTACTATGGGTAAACTGGAGATCGAATTTGAATATTGAAACAATGTTGCAAATGTCGGAGAGACAGACAGCAAGGTTTATACAAACCTCGGCTGTTGAAAATGTTAGTCTAAAAGAAATGTGAGATGATATCCAGATGCTTTTTTTAGTGGAGATCAAGTTCATAAATTGCTTGTCTGAGCTGATGAGACAGCGCAGTCAGATGGAACTGAGTAAATAGGCATTTTAACATCATAGATTTAGCTGGTGTTAACTTGTGGAATAGACACCGGCTGGAATGCGCTTTTAACAAATCAGCATTCAGGATTAGACCCACCCCTTGTATAATTAAGTGATAATGCCCGAAAAGCTGGTGTATCCTCCAAACACCGGCTTCGAGGGCATTATCACTTTTATTTATTTTGTATTTATCCTTTACTTTATATGGGAGTCATACTGAGACCAAGGTCTCTTTTACAGATGAGCCCTGAATTACAGAAATTACAGAAAATACACACATCAAAATATAAATAAAACAAAACACATTCATCACTAATAAGGTCCTCAATCAGTTTTAGAAAAATTGCATTCATTACTAGGTATCTAAACTATTTTATTTTTCCTGCGCGAACAAGCTACAGTATGCCTACTGTTATCCTACTGGCAACACACAGCATGTTCTACTGCTCAGATGACGTCATTTTCCTGAAGCGATATTTTAGGAAAAAACAGCGGAGCCCTCATATTAGGCTGCCAATACCTGCCTGGGCGCTTCTGCTATTTAATACTATTACGCAACATCATAGTTCTGCTACTGAAGTGCCGAACACAAGATCAAGTACAGTACCCTACCAACAATGAAAGAGCAGAGCATACGTGCTCTTTCGTTTTTTTAATGTTGTGAGATGGTTGCATACTAGGAGATTAGGTAATTTTCCAAAAAGAGAATAGCTTTCCCCACTTTAGGCATAGGTTTTCTCCACTTTCCGCATATAATTGATTCACTTTACGCACAGGCTTTCTCAATTTTACGCATAGGCAATTGTTAACAGAACATATCATATGGGAAAAATACTACTTTAATTTCACTTTAGCTGATTCAAAATTAATATGTATTACCTCACAAGTATCAGAATGATCCACTGGAGTGCAGTAGACAGTGTGTCTTGGCTTGCTCCAAAAATATCACCGATGGTGGGTGGTACATAATCTTTGCCTGGTGAGACCCTTGGCGAGCTGTCCTGAGAATGGTCTAATGCCATGATGAAAGCATCTGTCATGTCCCGGATGGTGCTTGACTGAATGGTCTTTCGATGCTCGACAACTTTACTAACGATAAATTTACTGAACTCCTGATTGAGCGCTTTAAAGTTTTCAAATATGTTTTTTATTGGGTTGGGGAAATACTGGAGCCAAGGCATCACATCCACGATGCTTCCAGCCCCCACTGTTTGGGTGAATTGATAATTTCGTCCCACCACTTGCGCAAACTCAGCGTCGTCGTATGAATACCTCTTTCCAAAGCACACGGCTGTCATTACGTTAGCGGTTGATACCACCAAGTATGTCATCGGCTGGAAATATTGGTGCTCTTTAGTTTTTACCAGGAAAAGATGGAGCAGCTCCCTAACTTCGCAGACAACGTGGTTTTCGAAGGCCTTTTTGGTGTGCATGTTGCGGTTGGAAAACATCCGAACAGTAGATTGGGCCACTTTTCGGTGCACTTTCCACCATTCGCTAAATGTACCAAAAGCAATGCCATCGCCATTGGAAACGTATTGAAACGAGGCAAAGTCCGGTCTGCCTGCGAAATCAAATCCCTTTTTGATGAGCGCCTGCCTAATTGCGTCAACATTCAGTACCACAACGTCCCGGCAGCCGAGTTTGATTTGAAAGACATCCCCATATTTCCGTGACATGCTAGAAAAATAGAGGTGAGGAGTGTTGCCAAGCTCTACTGCGTTCCCAATGACCGGCCAAGCGAACGGTCCAGGCGGGCTGTGCACGTCCCAGTTCCGCCTGATCCTGCGCCACAGAAGCATGGCAAAGAGAAAAGTCAAAGACGCCAATAATAGGCCACTCGGTGGCGTTGGCAAGTCCATTATGGAGCCTAGAGAAAGCAATAAGTTAGTTCTATAAAAATAATTAATTGATTATAGGGCAAAATACAAGTAAATTCAATAATCATTATTTTGAGACAGAAATATAGGCTAGTGGAAATATTATTACAGAACAAAATATGGCACAAAATGTAATGAGTCAAATACTGTGAATGAATAAGCACCACCTTGCAGTTAATTTGTTGCTTCTTCTAAGGAAAGAACAGCCTGATGTTAATTGTAGTCTGTCTGTTACTAATATTTTGATGAATAAGCTCCTGTCCCGTCGATGCCGATTGTAAGGCTACGTTTTAATGTAAACGCAAGAAGCGCGCTAATTAGGGCTCACTTATTTATATAGCGGATCCAGCTTGAAAGTAAGAATTATTGAAGAATGAAATCCTCATAACCTGCGCAATAGACATAAAATAAATGCAGTTATTATGTCCAGTAACTTCATTTATATTATCGTGCAGTTCCAGACCTTCCACTCTCCACATGTGAATAGCCTTCTGTTGTCCCAAGTTATGATTTATCATAAACAGAAGTGTCAAATAGCATCATAGCTCGTCAGCGTCTGAGTCGTGGTTTGTTGTAGGGGTGTCTGCTCCCCTCCCCCTCTCTCTCTCTCTCTCTCTCTCTCTCTCTCTCTCTCTCTCTCTCCAATTACATTCAATTTAAGGGCTTTATTGGCTGGGAAACGTATGTTAACATTGCCAAAGCAAGTGAAGTAGATAATAAACAAAAGTGAAATAAACAATAAATATTAACAGTAAACATTACACTCAGAAGTTCCAAAAGAATAAAGATATTTCAAATGTCATATTATGTATATATACAGTGTTGTAACAATGTGCAAATAGTTAAAGTACAAATGGGAAAATAAATTAACATAAATTTGGGTTGTATTTACAATGGTGTTTGTTCTTCACTGGTTGCCCTTTTCTTGTGGCAACAGGTCACAAATCTTGCAGCTGTGATGGCACACTGTGGTTTTTCACCCAGTAGATAAGGGAGTTTATCAAAATTGGGTTTGTTTTCGAATTCTTTGTGGATCGCTGTAATCTGAGGGAAATATGTGTCTCTAATATGGTCATAGGAAGTTAGGAGGTTAGGAAGTGCAGCTCAGTTTCCACCTCATTTTGTCCACCTCATTTTGTCTCAGCTCCAAGTGATTTTAATTTAGGAAATCTGTTCTCAAGTATTCCCACACAAACTAGAGAGAAATATGTGATCATATACAAATGTAAGCAAGGTTTGAAACTATTATGTTTTAGTCAAATGTGATATCTCTTTGGGATTATTGCGGTGAAATTGCAGTCTACAAATTATTTGTAAAAGTGATGATTAGTGTCTGATGAAATCTATTGTTTATTCAAATTCAATAGCATTCAATATCTTATCATGCAGCAATGGAGAGACGACTTATTTAATTTGAACGGTGTTCAATTTACGCAAATAATGCTTGGGTGTAGGGGCCTACTCATCCATTCTTTCAAATGATCTGATATTTTAATTTCTTAAGGATGTTATACGAATTTCTGTAATTTGCAGTTGAGCTAAATTCAGGGGACAAATTACAAATGGATCTAACAAGTATTTTTCATGTGCTATGAATAAAAAAGGGTCCTAATGTGTTTAGCCTACATAGGCTACAGCGGATCATACACATTAATAGAAATCAACATTTTTGTAGACTGACTGGGTTTTTCTTGTAGTTTTCTTTCTTATTATACAGGCAAATAGCCTACAATTTTCAACAAGTAAAATATGTCAGTATTCATTTATTATTATTATTATATTTTATTATTAATTAGGCTATACAACAATTATAATGGTAATAATTATTAATAATAACCAGACATTATTATGAATCATTATAAGTCTATTGTTTTATTCCCTTATTGAGGCCTGATGATATAGGCCTACATGACAGAGACCGGGTTTCAACAGAACCGGATTTCAAGCATCCATGCAATAACTTTGTAACTGTTGATCCCGCACAGTCATCTTATTTCCATGGAAAAATACCCTTTGAATGACCAAAACATCACACAATATTTCTATGCTATTAAAATGCTCCGATTTGAAGGAAATTGTACATTTTCTCTCATCACTAACTATCAGGGAGCCTGAAAGAATGGGCTGAGTGGGTGGGGAGCTTATATTCATGAGCTCGCCTTGACTGACAGCTCTTTGAAACGCCCTTGTGGTCATTGCCAGGTAACAAGGTAAACAATGGGCCACATGTCATTCAGAGCCTAAAAGTATGCCTCAACCCATTTGCTCTGCAAAATGCTCTCATGGTCAACAGAGCTAGGCCAGTTGAGAACAAGTTCTCATTTACAACTGCGATCTGGCCAAGATAAAGCAAAGCAATGTGATAAAAACAACAACACAGAGTTAAACATGGGATAAACAAAAACATACAGTTAATAACACAATAGAAAATCTATATACAGTGTGTGCAAATGTAGTAAGTTATGGAGGTAAGGCAATACATGAGGTCGCCAATCCCATATTTCTGCTCATTGATTAAAGAGTCACTTTAAGGAGGCTGAAAAGATTTGGCATGGGCACTCAGATCCTCAAAAAGTTATACAGCTGCACCATTGAGAGCATCTTGACTGGCTGCATCACCGCCTGGTATGGCAATTGCTTGGCATCTGACCGCAAGGCGCTACAGAGGAGGGTAGTGCGTATGGCCCAGTACATCACTGGGGCCGAGCTCCCTGCCATCCAGGAACTCTATACCTGGCAGTGTCAGAGGAAGGCCCAAACAAATGTCAAAGACTCCAGCCACCCAAGTCATAGATTGTTCTCTTTGCTACCGCACGGCAAGCGGTACCGATGCTGGAACCAACAGGACCCTGAACAGCTTCTACCCCCAAGCCATAAGACTACTAAATAGTTAGTTAAATAGTTAACCAATAGCTACCCAAACTATCTGCATTGACACTTTTTGTACTAACATTTTTTGACTCATCACATACGCTGCTGCTACTGTTTATTATCTATCCTGTTGCCTAGTCACTTTATCCCTACCTATATGTACATATCTACCTCAATTACCTCTTACCCCTGCACATCGGCTCAGTACTGGTACCCCGTGTATATAGCCAAGTTATTGTTACTCATTGTGTATTTATTATGACTTTTATTATTACGTGTTATTACTTTTCTATTATTTCTCTATTTTCTTTCTCTCTGCATTGTAGGGAAGGGCCCGTAAATAAGTATTTCACTGTTAGTCTACACCTGTTGTTTACGAAGCATGTGGCGAATAAGATTTGATTTGATTCGCTCAATTTGTAACACTAATCTCCCGTCCGAATGTGATATCATATCACGTAAAAGTGCTTTACTTAGGCTTTAGGAAATGCAACCAACTACAGAGATTGATGTGGAGGGGAGCGGGAGCGGGAGCGGGAGAGGAGGGGGACCCATATACCTCGCTTCAATCAAGCAGGCTTCAGTCAACCACTTGGCTTCAGTCACCCCCAAGATTGAAGCGGGAGAAAAATCCAGCTATGGCCTCCTCCTTGTCAAGCCTCTCACACTTGGCAGACAGGGGTCCTGGGATGGACAGCTCGTACAGCTTCCCCACATACGGCGCTGGATCAAGGGTGACCTCGTTGAAGAGGAGACACAGGAGCCGCCTGTCTATGTAGCCTGTAATGTTTTTGAAAAATGAAAGATGTTCTAAAGGGTTAGTGAATTTACTTTCCTTTTATTTACTGTTCTAAGTTATGATGCTATCAATTCATTGATGTAGTGATATACTCATTCTACATTGTGTTTTCTGAAGTTTTTTAAACACTCAATTTGAAATATGCAACATTTGGTTGTGCACTTTTTTGTGAAACTTTTCAGTGTTTGTATTTTGAATTTTGTGTGCCTGAAATTCTCAATTGATGCAGATTTAAAATAAATAACTATGACATACAGTATGTTGGGTCTGTCTTTGCCTTGTATCACAGCATTCCTGCTGCAGTGGTTGCCTGGGAAGCTGTGAAGATAGTAGATGTTGAATTTTCTAAAATGTCTATGATTACAGCTTGATGAAAGTGGAAAGACAAAGGAGATGGAAAGTGAAATAATACTGCATGATCTAAGTCATAGTTGGTATTCAGCAGTCATAAAAGTATGCCTTATTGACTTTGAAGAACTACTACAATTGTGATTTTGTCAGACAGGATAGGCAGCAGCTCTATAGAGATTAGATGATGACTTGGAATGCAATAATAACGTCATCAAATAAAACAAATGCAATATACACAACAACTGAACTATTTTATTAAAGTAAAGTCATGTGAATAAATGATGTCCGGTTAATAAGTGATAAGCAGTAATGGGCAGTCACTACCATCATGGATTTTTTATTAATTGTTTTATTCTGTGTTGTTACATGATTCATCCCACGTAATACATAGTGCATTTAATGTCCAAAAAATTGTTGAAACCGAAATAAAAAAACATGAATATTTTTTAATAATCTAACAGAAACCGAACCGACCTCAAAAGCACTAATCGCGCAGCACTAATAGATAGTTAACTAGTAAGCTAGACTGTTGGTTTATAAAATCAATTTTTACACTGCTCAAAAAAATAAAAGGAACACTAAAATAACACATCCTAGATCTGAATGAATGAAATAATCTTATTAAATACTTTTTTCTTTACATAGTTGAATGTGCTGACAACAAAATCACACACAAATGTTCAATGGAAATCAAATGTATCAACCCATGGAGGTCTGGATTTGGAGTCACCCTCAAAATTAAAGTGGAAAACCACACTACAGGCTGATCCAACTTTGATGTAATGTCCTTAAAACAAGTCAAAATGAGGCTCAGTAGTGTGTGTGGCCTCCACGTGCCTGTATGACCTCTCTACAATGCCTGGGCATGCTCCTGATGAGGTGGCGGATGGTCTCCTGAGGG